GCTGCTGCTGCTGCTCCTGTGCCTGTTCCTGTTCCTGCTCCTTCGTATTTTCGTGACTGTTGATTAATTAAATCAGAAACAAATTCAATTAGTTTGCGCTACGAAAATGATGAGCGACATAGCAGCAAATGCAAAGCGAAAAATGAGACGGTAGCTAAATGTGTCAGGGAGAGCGAGCAAGGGAGTAGATAACGGTAACAGTATGAGGAGAAATGGGAGCGGAATGTGGGCGAAATGGAGTGGGTAATAAATTCCTTGTGCAACAAAGTCTATGCAAGCTAGCAGAAATTCATCTTTTTCATTTCGTTGAGTGTGTGCGTGTGTGTGTGCGTGTGTGTGTGTGTGTGTGTGTGTGTGTGTGTGTGTGTGTGCGATTTTATGAAAGTTTTTCTTTGTTTCTTTTTTGTATATTTTCGATTTTGGTCATACCACGGTGTTGCACTAAAATCCGTTTTGGAGTCAACGTCTTCGTTTTCGTCGAGTCCAGGTGACGTTGCTGCTACTTCGGAATCTGCGACATTTGCTTGTATCGATTCTTCATCGGCATGCGACTCCGCTGCAAGTAGATTGTTGGAATTTGCACAATTGCTAATCGATTCCTCTGCATCGTTATTAGATTCAGGCTGATGCAGTAGCTCGGATGAAGTAGCCATTATTATAATTATGTATTGCGTTTTTTTTTTTTAATAAGCGTAGGATAATAATTTTTTTAAAACTCTGCGTAAGGAAGAGAGAGATAAAGGAAGAGTGAACACATTTTTTAGTAAGACGAAGTGAAATTATTATTTTTATGTTGTTATTCTGGTTCGCTTTTTAACACTGTATAAATTTATGTACATATTATACATACATATGTATATTTTTGTAAATATATTTACACTGACAAATTTTTCCCATCATTAGTTTTTTTATGCGTCATTTAAGTAAGTATCACATCACATATGTAGCTATAGTTTTTGTCTGTTGTTTTTTGGCTCTCATTATTCCACTGAGTATTCAATTGCATTCACTGCATGTTTTCACATTCCCAGTGCATTAATTTTTTGTCACATCGTTTGCTTAAATTAGTTTTTTATGTCAAATACTTGTTTTTTATATGTTTTTTCTTTGCTTTCATTACTCAATTACACATTCAAATGTATTCACAGCATATTTTCACACTTTATATTCGTGTATAATTAGTTGCACCGGCAATACAGCTACTAATCTCTACGTTAGCTGTTTGTCATAAACACTCAAACTCGTACTTTGCAGCGTACAGAGGTAACAAATACTCCGAGTAGGCATACTGGTACTTACACAGTGTATCAATATATGTATGTATGTATGCATGTAAACAGGCATGTACATATTTACATATGTATACAGTGGCTCAATAAAGAAGTCGGACAGATATGAAGCCAATATTTTATGAAACAAATTTTTTTCATAAAAACATAAAGATAACAACTTGTGTAAGTTTATAAAAAACTCGAGAAATTACAATAGGCATCTTCATGTAAAGTGATAAACTGCCGATACACGTGATAAAATGCTAAATAAACTGGTTTTCCATACAAATTTATAATTTCATCACGAAGACCCGTATTAAATTAGATGAAACAATAATAACTTGAAATAGGTCTCTTACGCTGGCAGTCAAAACTGGTTGGTGTTTTGTTTTTAATATTTACATACTAAAAAATTTTTCCGCAAAAGCCATCAGCAAAAAAAAATATATATATATTAAAAATCTACGCGATTTTTTATACGCTTACAACTTGTACTTGCATTACTAAAATTTCGTAGGCCTTGTAGCTACATAACCAAAAATATCACCAAAAATTCTTATTAAAAAGCTCAAAATTTGTAAAAGTTGTATAAGTTCTATATAAAGTTTGAAACTTTGATTTATATGGTTTTCGTTAAAGCATGAATCATATTTTTTATAAAAAAAACATAAAAAAATGCTTGCTTGGAAAACATTGTATATAAAATAAAACACCATTAATGCAGTATTGACATGTACATTAGACCGTAACACTTTACAATCAAACAAAAATAAGTTTGCCGTACACCCCTGAGTCTAAACGCCTCGCCAGATAGAAAGTCTTTTCTGCGTCGCATGGATGTTTTTGACTGACGCGACGCACAGGTAATGGCAAGACGGCACAACGAAAACTTTGCAGCAAACAAAACCGCTCAATTTGATTGGCCAAAAATCAGTTGGTCTGAATTCGTTCCATACATTGTTCTTGCGCCGCATCGGCGCATGTCAAAATGCTTACTCTAATGCCCGTTAAAGGTATCCCTGCAACGCATAAAAGATTTTCTAGCTGCCGGAGCCTTAAAGTATTTTTGCAAGGCAGTTGGAAATATTTTTTAATTTTTTTTTTGACCGAACCTAGGGGTCGCCTTTTTACCATCCATAAATTCGACAATAAACATTTTTATTTAATAGTTATACTGGAATAATCAAAATACTTTCTTAGCAAAAGTTAAATGCTTTTTGGTGAGCTTTAGTAAGCGTGGTAGGTTGATTGGTAGGAACTGAGATCTGGTGGGTAAGTACTCGAACGGAGAACTTGAGGTCAATAACAATGTTGTCCTTGAGACAAGAACATCGATATATCATAGTTTAAGATCCGGCTGTAAATGTCGAAGATATGAAGAAAAATTTAAAAAAATGCATACCCAAAGTTCGGTTAAAAAAATGTTTTTTTTTTTCGAAATTGCATTGCAAAAATAACTTTAGACTTGGTGGTATATGGCGAACTTTTTCCGGTATGGTTTAATGTCCATATGTATACAATATTTTCAAAGGCCTGAATGACTTTTTCTGAGTAACGCTGTACAATTTTTTAGATTTAATTTTTAGAGACTTTTACGTACGTTGACGACATGTACATAGTCTTTGCTTGAGAAGACCCCTAGTAAAATTTTTCTACAACATACCAATCCTCTAACTCCAAATTTCTTTTTGGGGGATTTCTTGAAGAACGGGTAAAATGGCCGTTTCAGGCAGCAGCTAATGGGTTAATGTTCTATGAAAATATTTCCCATTAAGTTTTACTATACATGTCTTAACTATAATTTTACTCAAACATTTATTTTAGCAATTTTTGCCATTTATTTAATATTGCCTTAGGCCGGGGCATGAAAACTTTAGTAGGCCATAAAATAAAAATAGGACTAACCTTATCAAATACATCGAGTAGTTTAGTACTGGATATATAAGTATACCTTCAGAAAATATTAGCAACGTCTGGGCTGGTTTTAATTGCCATAAAATTGTCGCACAGTGTAATATATACAACGAATTTCGTCCTTCTAACTTTTGAGTTTACGATAAAAAAAATAGTTAAAGGCAATTTTCAATACCTATTCGTCCTTAAGAACCAAAATATTATTTGTTTTTTAATTCTACAGAATTTCATCTTTCAAACTAAATTATGAAGCATTCTTTATTTTTTATTATTGTGGGTGTTAGTTAATATGTTTTCGAAGGTATTTGTGAAGTAGGTAAAAAATCGACTTTCTCCTGGAAATTTAATTTATAATCGTATGACTCGAATCTACATATCGCGCACTTTCTTCAAATATATTTTTACACACATATTGTAATATTTAGCTTATCTTACCGATTTAACTAAATAAAATTTTTGAAATAGGTGGCAACCCGCTTCAAAAATACTTTCGACAGTAAACTTTCTTAAACCTCTTATGTTGTATACTTGTATTGTAATATTTCATTTATTTTATCAATTTGATTGAATAAAACTTTTCAAACATGTGGCATCCCTCCTCAAAAATATTTTTGACAGTAACCTTTCCCAAACCCCTTTAGTTTGATGCCCGCATTGCAATATTTAATTTATCTTATCAATTAAATTAAATTAAAACTTTCAAACAGGTGGCAACCTTCCACAAAAATATTTTCGGCTGTAAGCGTTCTTAATCCTCTTTCTTTTGGGGGTTAAAAGCCGAAAAGCTTTAGAAAAGTAACACAGGAATGTGTTTACTCTTCACTTATTTCGAGCTAAATAGTCAAGTCAATTTTTTTCCTTTGTCTGATACCCATATTGATATACATATTTCCCTTACCTTATTCCCTTAATTAAAGTGAATTTGATTTTTTAAACATGTGGCCACCCTTCAACGTGCCGTTTAGAAGTAAACACAGCACAGCAAACCCTTTTTAATTCATTTAACTTATTAAACAATTTTAATAAAACTTTAAACATGTGGCAACCCTTTAAAAAAAAAAAACTTTGTTCCACATCTACAGGCCAAGCCCTATCATTTCACACCTAACTTTTGAAAATAGAACGAACTATATGTGCATACCTATGTTAATGCCACAAGAACCCTAATTGTCAACTTAAAACTGCATTTAGAGTGAAAGTATGAAAGTTATCCAAAAACAAATTGCATTTTTGAATTTAGCGTCCTCAATTTTACTAAGAGAATTTTTATTTAAATACGTCCATAATTCAATTTTGGCCCACATTTTATATCAAAGGGAAGCACTGTGCGACACTCGAAAGAAAAAGACTTACGGCCTTATTCATAAAAAAATAAAATAGATTTAAAGAGCTCTATGAAGTGTCATTTTCATAAAAATTTTCTATTTATGAAGCAGTTACAGCCTTCTTTATTTTTAATGAATTTGGTTGTTAAGCTTTAAGACGCTATATAACCTCAAATATAGGCCAGAATCGCGTTTTTTGCACTTTTAGGTTAAAATATGAGCACGTCGATAAGCTTTGATAAAGTTCTGGGCCCTTACTCTGTAGTTCGAATCGATAGTAAATTTGTTCGAATTCGAACGATTTGTACTATAAAAAAGTTAGGCGTTCGAATAGAACCTTTTTTCGATTCGAGCTACAGAGTAAGGGTCCTGGGTTTTGGGAAAATATTTTCGGTTAACTTTGTCGGCCCGTGTTATTTTGAATGTTGTTCGATGAGAAGAAAAAAGTTTAATGAAAGAATAATGCAAAAAAAAATCGAAGTAAATAATTTTTTCTAATTTTTTAAGAATGTAATGTTCGAATGCTTGCCCGACTTCATTTTAGAACCACTGTATATATGTACATACATATGTACATATATGAATACATTCATATATTCATATATATACATATGTATCTACATACGGAAATATTTAGATATAAATTTTAAGTATGGGGGTACATAATTTTCACAAAACCTTGCTGTTTTTATGGAGTTTGCTTCAGATTTTTTTCTCACTTCCATCTCATTTAAGTTAATCAATTCATTTGCTGCTCACTTTTTGCATGTTGCATCATAAATATGTATAAAAAAAAATTATATATATATTTTTTTTTTCACTTTGCACACAAATAATATTTACCCGGAAAATCAACAACCACATACATACATACTACATATTAAATGTGTATGTATGCATGCAAGTATGCAACAATAATTTCTGCCTTTTCCTTTTATGCCCACCGAAACAGAAATTTTTCTCAGCACAGCAAATAAAATCAGGGAAAATATATCAAAGTGCTGCGAGATGAATGAATTTAATTCTGCAATGCAATGTACAGAGTAGTTGTTGTTGTTGTTATTGTTGCTGCTCTGCTGAATTTACTGCCGCTGCTGCGCTGTTTTGGCTATGACTCTCGCTATGCCTGTAGCTGTAACGGTGACTGTGACTATGCCTGTGACTGTTGAAGAATCGGAGTCTGGCATCGATTTTTTCATATTTTTGTAAGCGGTGCCTTTACAGGATATACTAAAATGTTCTTGTCGTTGTAGTTGTTGTGCTTGATGTTGTTGCCTTGGACGCTGCTGCTATTGTCACTGCCGTTTTTGCTACTGCCGCTGCTGCTGCTGCTAGTGTCGTTCATGTAATTGCTTCGCTGCTTGTTGGGCTGGCTGGCTGGCTGGCTGGGGGTGTACAAACGCACGGCTCTGATTTTGCTTCGTATCCAACTGTGAAAGGTCACTTTGGTACAAATACAATACACTTCAAGACGCTTCGCAGCAGGACATTACATTTTTTTTTTTTTAACTACAACGGTTTGAGAATTTGATTTCCTGTTAACAGCAGTCGACTTGAAGGAAGCGTAACGATTTTTGACTTCCTTGCACAGCACAAAGAGCACATACACATATGTATATAGATAAAAAGAAACAACTAGCCGCACATACATACTATGTATGTGTGTGTGTATAAACAATTTTCATATGAACTACGAGCGACGAGCACTTTTCCTTTCTTTTTAACGGTCCGCCTGCATTAGCACATCGTTAGTAACACTGCCTATGTAAATATGTATGCGCACAAGTATGTGTATGCGCATTTCCATTTTTCCATTATTTTTTTTTTAATTTTATATATTCTAATTCTCTTTTATTTTTGCAAAAATTCTTTTTGTTGCAAAGTACCTTTTTAGCGGCTTTCACATTTGTCTGTTTTATCGATTATTTTCGACATTATGATGTATTTGTTGGATTCTCTACGCGTTCTTTGCTGTTCTTGTGCTTTTGTCCATTTCCGTATACCCCCCGAAAACAAAAAATTTAAAACACAAAATGAATATCTGCTTTTCCCAATTTTGCAAATTTTCCAACTACAGCTCGTACGACGAACACATCAACTTGAGTTACATTATTAGACTGACTGTAGAGAGTTGTCGTCGCCGAGGCTGTCACCATCAGCTATCATTCATTGTTGTTGAGTCGAATTAGCGCAAAAAAAGTATGTAACAATGTACAATGTCTCACCGTGGAGCGATTGAGCGTAGCACTTCTAGATACTCCGCGCGCTATATAGGCGACTTTGGCTTACCGCTCGCTTCAAAGTCTCACACAGTCTGTCACTTCCACTTTTCTTTTGCACTTTTCTTAATTTCGGCCCCTTTTCACTATATTAACTTCGTGTGTGTACGTTTGTATCTAAGTGTGGGCTGCATGTGTTTTCCACCCCGGCATTGTACGCTACACGCGGTTAATTTTGATTTTCAAACGCCAACAACACAACTGACCTGATAACCTTATGGGAAATAAATTTTCCTAAAAACCACCATACCTTGAAATTTTTACGCTGAATGGGCCGCGAAATATGAAAAAAAAACTAAAATCGATAGTAGTTTCTGAGGTAATGTAAAAACTTCGTTCGCCTATTTATGAAAAGGTCCCTTATATTATTTATTTAACGACACTGGGAGAAACGATTAAAAAATTTTTTTTAAGTAAAAAAAATTACTTTAAAAAGTTTTTAAGTCTAAATAGGAAAAAAATTGCAAGCTTATTTTTTTATTAAAAAATAGTTTTTATAAAAGATTTCTTAAAAATTATTTTTTTTTTTCTTTTATAAATTGTCCCCAAATCTTCCTACTTGTCTTCAGCTAGGCTGTTCTTCATTAATGCTGTAAGGCTCTGGAACTCAGTTCCTGAGTCCGTAAAAGCAGCGATGAATCGGAGTAACTTCAGAAAGGTATTGCATAATTACTTTAGATCTGCACAATGAATGTGGTTGCGCTTAAATTGTTATCATTTCTCTGTCTCTGTCACTTCTACTATTAAACCAAATTTTGTATGTTCGTATTTATATTTATATGCCTGACCTTTTATTATATCTGGCCTTAAATTTTAAGTCTTAATTTTAATTTTAATTAAAAATACAAATATTAATATTTTTTGTTGCTATTTGATATATTGTTAGTTTTATGTCTTATAGATACAGCCTCATTTCTTAAATAAATATGAAAAAATATATATATAAAAATACCTTTGTATCAGAAAATCTGTTATAAACCTTTTTAATTTTTTTTAGTCAGTCAAACAATATTTACAGGGTGATTCAAAAGTACCGCACCGGACCGGTCTTATTGGCAATTGCAAGATCTCGGCGGCCGTTTGACCTCGTTTCTTCGTATGATAATGCATCCTGGGAACTTTCTTTGCAATATGGCCATTGTTTCATGCGTTGTGTGGCAAGTGGCGTCAACCTGTTGGAACCACATATTGTCTAAGTCCATTTCATCTAATTCAGTTCGGCAGTTTGTTTGTTAACGTATCCGTTTATTTTAAAATGTGCCTCATCGCTAAATGCAGCTTTTGCATAACGACCATTTTCTTATAACGTTTGAATCACTTTTAGGCATTGTTCAACTGAGTAACACGCCTTGACTAAGTTTGCTAAAGTCTGTAGCACCAACTGTGTAAAAAAAATTTAAAGAAAACGTCAACACATCCCATCTAATTGTTGTGAAAGATCTGCATTACCCTTGAATAACCCTATAGGAGCAAATTAGAATGAAATGCATTAAAAATGCATCAAAAAAAAAAAAAGATCCACACCTTGTCCCATTTCCTTCTTTTATGGAAATATTTTATTTAAAAATTCAAACGATACTAGTCGGTTAAAATCCACTCGACGTTCCATTGCCATTGAATTATTGTTATTACAAAAACTTGCTTGCCAACACATTTTTCGTCGGTAATATGTATACTTTTTGGAATTATTTCCATTCAAAAACTTGTAAAAAACGAATCTTTTAATTGAATGGACCGCTGATTTAAATTATAGAAAATGGAATAGAATATGTATGTACATATGTAGTTCTAAAATTGTATTCCAAAAGTACCGCACACAGAAATTCGTTCATGACCGCTGGAAAAAGAAAACATTCCCCAAGAGAATTGTGCACACAAATTTTGTTATTTTTGTGAATTTGCTATATTTGCTGCCGCTGCTGCCGCTACTGCTGCACTCATCTGAGGCACACTCGCTAAAATACGTCTGGAACACGCGTGCGCAATAATTAGCTCCAGCCGAATAACACAAAGCAGTGCACTTACATATGTATGTACTAGATATGTATGACATGTATTTGAGCACTGGAATTGTTACAATCAAATGAGTATAACAGAGTGCGAGTTTATTTAGAAAAGTACTTAGTACATAATATTCGTACAATGACTGTGAAAAGTATGTATACGAATGAGTAATTTATATGCAAATGTTTATTATTGCTAATTTCACTAAAACTCTTAGTTACTTACATACATACATAGGCAATCACAATTAATGAATTCTAATTACATTACGGATGTTAATTTATTTGTATGTGCTGTGCTGCTATATTTAGATGCTATTTTCGGAAGTGACATTAGCTTATAATACAACTAAGGTTAAATGTAATCAAGTAAGCAACGGGTGAACGAACAATCGTTTACATATGTACATATGTATGTCCGTAGAAATATATATACCGAGGGCTCATATTCAAAATCTGCTATCAACGCTTTTTACCAAAAAGTACTTTCCGATATTAGAACTTTAACTTTACAATTTTATAGTAAAACCTTCTAAAATGCGATATATACGGTCAGCAATAACATCATCGATGACAGTTGAATTCCAGACAAGCACTAGCATCAGAAAGTACTTTATGTTAAAATCACGGCTGCCAACCGATTTTGAACCAAACAGTCGCTTTTTTTCGGGCTTCGGACCGAACCGTTTTTATTTTGAGATGCCAAAACCGACCCGAAAACCCCTCCAAAAAATGGTTCGGTTCGGTTCGAAATTAAAATCCACTGAAGCATTTTTCAGTTTTGTAATACATACACAACTTGGTCTAAAAATGCAACCCGTATAGTAAAAATGCAAACATTTTTTTGTTTGATGGCAACTCCGTGAGTTGTAGTTTTGTCCATATAAAGAAAGCTTGATTTTTTTATATGGAAGAAAATGCTTAACAATACATAAATAAAAAATTCTAAATAAAAAATTTCTAAAACTCGGATTTTATTTGTTTGGATTAAAAAGCTTGAATCTTTGATGCAATTTTGTTGAAATTTTTAGATTTTTTCTAATTTTCTTACAAAGTTTGAAATTTGTATTTATATGCTTGTTGTTATATAAAGATCTATACATTTATAAAAGATGTGTGAACATTAAACTAACAAAAGAAAAATAGTCACATGCCGCACTAATATAATTTTTACCTTAGGTATACAATGAAGTTAAGGCCAAGTGTAAGCTCCAGCCTACCGAAAATGAGGTTTTCAACATTAAGCCAAGATTTTGAGCGTCAATTCAAAATTTTGAGTAAGTATGCTGTTTTAATCTACATACTCGTCTAGGTTCACCACCTGTTCAAGCCTTCAAAAGTTTATTAAAATTTTTCTAATTTCAGTTTGATCGCGTTGATTTGAAATGATTTTTTTTTTGTTTTCTTCCATAGAAAAAAATTGTCCAACATACATTGCTGGAACAAAGTATTGGCACAGCAAATTTTTCACAATATATGCAACAATATTTATTCTAATATTTTTCCGCCAATTTTGTATAAAAATATAGTTCAGTCTACAACAAAAAACATAAAAATATAATTCCGAAACTTTGTGCAAAACTCGCGAAAATTCAGCAAATTTTCAATTTTTTAATCAGATTTTTTAGTATTTTTTTGAGTATGCAATTTTGCAGCTCATTCAATTCTAGTAAAAAAATACAATCGTATTGATTTTTGACATTTTTTTTTTGTTGAAGATGTTTTGCATTTTTTTTTTGTTGAAGATGTTTTGCATTTTTTCCATATAAAGTATTTTCGAAAAAACATTGCCAAAAATCAACGGTAATTCCAAGCTACTTAAAACTTCTACTTTATTATAATGAAATGATGGGGCTGCATACTCAAAAAAAATCTGATTAAAAAGTTGAAAATTTGCATGCAAATGTGCTAAATTTTTTCAGGAGTTTTGCACAAAGTTTAGGAATTATTTTTTTTTAGGTTTTTTGTTGTAGAATGAACCATATTTTCATATAAAATTGGCGGAAAAATGTTAGAATAAAAATTGTTGCATATATTGTGAAAAATTTGCTGTGCCAATACTTTGTTCCGGCAGTGTACATATGTACATACATAACAACATCGCAACTGAAATGGAAAAAGTCGTGACTAATATTTTTATTTTTTTCCTAAAATGATGTGGAGAGTTGTAATTCGATGGAATCCATCATATAAAACAAAAAGTGAATTTTAAATGTTTTATTGGTTATGACTTTTTGCATTTCAGCGATGATGTTTGTTACGTCTCTTTGCATTTCAGGTGACGATATGTATGGAAGAAAATCCGAGAAAAATTGCTAAAAATAAATTTAAAACTTAAAAATTTTTCCTAGAAATTTTTATTTACAAGTTTTCAATTTAGATGAAACTGTACAGAAATTTCATAATTTTTGCACAAAATTTCAAATTGGGTTCATATGATTAAAAAAAAAATATAAACATTAAATAAAGAAAAGTAGCCAATACTTGATAAAATGTTGCGTCCCTATTTTTGCCACCACTATACATATATGTGGATATTTAAATTTGATCTCAATAACAAGCCTTTAATTTTTATATTATGGATTTGTCATATTTTTGTAATATTTAAATAATTTAGCCATTCGAACCACTGAACCAAACCGCACCGATTTTTGGAGTGGTTTGCAGCCCTGGTTAAAATCGCTGATATCAGGTTTTGAACTTCATTTTTGCTCACATAAAATTGCGCTCCATGTGCTCTCTTAAAAACTTGTTGTATTTGTGCTCCAGAAAATTCACTGAGTGTTGAATACTTTAAGCCTCAAATAGACTCTCCGAACTTCGTATTCAATCACCTAGATTCAGAAATTGAAAAGATTTGTATCAGGTGGGTTAGATTGACATCGCAAAAAGGGTACGATACCACGCTAAAACGGCAATTTAAATTAAAAAATATTCCAAGTGTCGTATGGTGACGAACATATCTACCGGATTATAGTTGGGAGAGAATACAATTAGCACT